AGCAAACTCAGCAAACTCCCTGACCCTCTGGCTGTTTTAATCTTTCCACCGCTCTTTTGCAATGTTTCCTGAACTGTAGGAGTTGCTTTGTAGATGTATCCTCTGGGACTGGGCTCCACAACTCTGTGTTTTGATTGGTTGTGGCTCTCTGTGATAGTCTGTCTATTGCAAAGGGACATTTCATTGACAAAAGGGGGAGGACTACACTTGTCTGTGGGTATAAGGACAAATATTTAGAATGAATTAGAGATAGTGCTGGTTTAGTAAAGTGGTGCTTTTTAGTTTCTCCTCCAAGATCCATGACTTCACACTAACCCTCAGAGTTATTGTACCATGTTAGTTGTTGTAGTTCATGGTGCTATGGCTAGGTAGACCAGTTGTTGGTTGTGTCCTTCCTTCTGCTATCATGAAGTTAGTCCTCAGAGTGTAAGCGTTCAAGTCAGTTCCCACTGAGGACCTCTGAGCCCTGTTCGGGAAGTACATGGTGTCTTCAGCAATAGTCACTTACCTTCCACCTCTTGGGGGTAACCAAAGGGCAACAGCAATAGGCAGTATGTTTTGGGAGTGTCTTAGACAGCCCTGGTCAACAACTCAAAAAAGGGCTTCTCATGTTTGATGTGTGGTGTGGGGTTCCCACTCCACAGAAAAAGATTAATCAGGTGGTGTCCTAAGTCTTTTGCATGTTCTAAACAATATTCGACACTATTACTATAAAGAATCATAGTATTGGACAGCTATGGTGGCATGGGAGGCAGAGGTAGGTCCTCCAGGGATCTTTGGCTCAGGGAGGGAGAATCGCCTAGCTTGTTTCATATATATGTATATATTTATACATATATACATATATATATATATATATAATATAAAATATATATATATATATATATTTTTTTTAGGTAAATAGCTAATAGTATGATTCCCTATGACTTTTTCAGACATTCTTACTATTGTTTCCCCCCCATCATCCTCCTTCTATATTTATCTCCCTTGCTATTCCCTGGTTAGAATTTTCCCTTTTCCCTCATTCCCCTAATCAGATCTCTTGTACCCTGCTATTCTTCTCTCTATTGGTCCCCCACATCCCTAACATGGCAACTGTCCCTTTTTAATTTCCTACTTTCTGTAACTCTAGGATATGTTCCCACACCTGAAGATTTGGAGCTAGGAGCTTCTGATGAGAGAGAACACGTGACATTTGTCTTTCTGGGTCTGGGCCACCTCGATCAGTAGGATCATTTCTAGTTCCATCCATTTACTAGGCTAGACCCTAGAGGAGGAGGAAGCCCAACTAATTCTTTCCAAAACATCCTCACTGTGACAACTGTCTACAACCTTTGGAATGCATTTTCTTTTTCCACTTATTATAGCACTACTTCTTTCTGGAAAGAACAGGTCATTTGAGTGCCCCCCCCAAATCTCTAATATAACTAGAGACTTCCCACCTTAGGAATCCCAGGAAGTTTGGAGTACTTCTGTATTTATAAGGAAAAAAATAGGCAGTGCATGTTTGTTTGACACCTTTAAAAAGTACACTGCCACCATATAACCTGTTTTCCCCAATGTGGTAAAGGCCTTTATGACTACTTCCTGTAGAATTTGTAATGATCTGAGTGCGTTGAAATACTTCTGTGAAATGATCCATTCTTACAGGCTACAGGTTTGTAAACCTCTGTGTGCTTTTGGCTTCAAGTTCTTTGTTATAGCATTTTGTTCACAAATGACAAAGTGAATGGATCTCAGGTGTGACACTTTTAAAGCTTCATCGGGGCAGTGAAGATGACTCATTTGGTTGTGAGGATGGCTCATTTGTTAAGAGTTGCTGTGCATGCATTAGGACCTGAGTTAGAATCCCGAGTGCTCCCATAAAGAGCTAGGTATGGCCACCTGTGCCTGTAACCCCAACATTGGAAGTTGGTACCAGCAGACCCTGGGAGCTCTCTGGCCAGCCGAAAGACAAGCTTCCAGTTCAGTAAAGAGACTGTCTTAAAGGGATAAGCTGACACTGGAAGTCTCCCTCTGACCATTGTGAACCTGCACATACATGCGCATACCTTCCCAGGCCCCCAGGACCAAAACAAACATCTTTGTCGGAGCCACTGTCTTATTCATGGTTTATTTTATCTTAATTTATTTTTGTTAATAAAATAATTTGCTTTCAGAATATATCTTCACATTCTCACCCCAAATGTTTTTTTTTTTCATTCTTTTGGATTTTAAAACATATTTAAAAAGGTATTCTGTGAGAGGCACAGAGGGTCTTGCACACACAGATAAGTACTAGGGGGACCAGGAATGTTAAATATGCAGGGTTGTTTCTTCAAAGGGAAAGAGATGTTTTCCGCCTAGAAGGCTGAGAGTGGATGTGGCCTGGTGACCTTCCTCACCAAGACCCTTATCATGAGCTTGGTTTTCTTAGTCCATCTATAGAACCCATCTTTATGGAAGATGCCCCATGTACTTTGCAAAGATTCTCGATGTAGTCATGTCTTAAGCTTTATTGGGCACATAGACTTGAGTTAATTATCACCAGGAAAAAATTTCTCACCAAATTGTGCTGTGTTTAAATATGCCTAAAATAAACTATTTCAGTTCAGATACTCGAAGTTTGAACCAACACCAGCTACTGAGTCATGTTGAACAGGATAGCGGATTAACACTCTGCTTGGCATAATGGTTGAGAGCGCCGCGCGCACGCACGCGCACGCGCACACACACACACACACACACACACACACACACACACACACACACACACGCCCTGTGTGTGCATGCACATGCAGTATTCTTTGACATTTTTATATATGTGTATAATGCAATTTGAATATTGGTCATAATTACATCCACTCTCATCTCTTCCCATTCCCCTTGGACCACTTCTTTTTTTGTTGTATTTAATGAACAAACAAATTCTAGCCAGATGCTGTGATGTACACCTGTAATCAAAGCACTTAGGAGACTGAGTCAAGAAGATGAGTTCAAGGCCAGCCTGGGCTTATAACTAAGACTCTGTTTTAAAGACCAAGGACTGGAATATAGTTCTGTGTCAGAGTGCTTGTCTAGAATACCAAAGCCTTGAGTTTGATCCTTTTTAAAAAAATGTCTAGAAAATATAAGCAGAGTTTCAGAAAATGTCTATTTCTTAAAAAAATATTTCTTTCAGTTTTTGATATTATAATTACACCATTTCCCCCTTCCCCTTCCTCCCTCCAAAACTGTCCCATATACTCCTCTTGCTCTCATTCAAAATAATGGCCTTTTTTCCATTAACTTATGTAGCATACATATACACTCCCAAGCACACAAATACAACCTGCTCAGTCTGTATACTGTTACTTGTGTTTTGTTTTGTTTTGTTTTGTTTTGAGTCAGGGTCCCTCTGTGTAGCCCTGGCTGTCCTGGCACTCGCTCTGGAGACCAGGCTGGCCTCGAAGTCACAGAGATCCGCCTGCCTCTGCCTCCCAAGTGCTGGGATTAAAGGCATGTGCCACCAATACCCGGCAGTTGAACTAAACTTTTAAAGTGCTGTCTTGATAATTTGGAGTTTGGCTGACTGTGGTGGCACCAACCTTTAATTACAGCACTTGGGAGGCAGAGGTAAATAAATCTCTGAGTTCGAGGCCAGCCTGGTCTACAGGGCAATGACAGCCAGGGCTACACAGAGAAACCTGGTCTCAGAAAACAAAACAAAACAAAACAAAACAAAACAAAGAAAAAGAAAAGACAAAAGATAACAAGGAGTTTGGCAGCCCTCCATTTGTCAGGGCTCTTGAGTTGCACATTGTTTTCATTTTCTGACAGGAACCGACGAACAGTTCGGTTCATACTAAGCAATCCATGCTAAGACTATTCTGTTATATTCTTGTTAGTGTTATCTTTCATGAGATGTCTTTCTCAGACTCTGGAAGCCGCAGGTCCAGCTCATGAAGTTACTTTTGCTAGAAATAGATTGTCATTCCGGAGCCCACTCCAGGGGGTTCAAGCTTTCCTAATGTTTATGTTGCCCCTCTGTGGCTTTTAGAAATATTCCAAATTCTGGGATAGTCATTAGTGATGGGATTTCCTTATTTGTGGAAACTAATCTGAAAGAATAAAGATGAGTCTATACATGTATGTAGGCATGTATGTACATCATGTATATGTTATTACACACATGATTTGAATATTTATTTCCAGCTACTTATTTCGCCTTAGGTACATACTGTATATACCTTTCTATGCCTTTGTTATAATAAGATAAGATCTATCATTTGGATCATTTTGAGTATGTGATTCAGCTGCATTAAGCACATTTGTACTGTGTAGTATCACCATCACCCATCTTTAGGACTGTGTTTTTATCTTCTCAAATAAAAGTTGTGTCTCTATTGAGCAGTAATTCCGGATCTTGGTAATTTATATTCTGCTTTCTGTCTCTATGAATTTACCTATTTAGGTATCTCATGTAAGTGGAATGGCAACAGTATTTTTTTCTTTCGTGATTGACTTATTTATTTTTTTAATCTTTCTGTCTCATTCACATTGTAGCACTTTGAAGAATATTGTTCCATTGCATATGTCTACTGCATTTTGATTGCCCATGGACAGGCTACTGTCCTCACTTTGGCACTGCTTAGCCCATTTTCAGTTCTTTTGTGTATATACTCAGATGTCAAATTACTGATCATGTGTTTAGTTTTTGAAGGGATGCCATTGTGTTTTCTTGGGGAGAATAATTTTATGTAAGAGAATGTCTCTTTTCCATTTCATTTTTGAAGGGGTCTTGGGAATGGACTCCAGGCCTTGGTGTAGGCTAGGCAAGCATGCCACCATTGATCTATGACCCTAGTCCTTGTGTGTGTGTGTGTGTGTGTGTGTGTGTGTGTGTGTATTTAATATCTCTGTAGTTTTCTTAATTATTGTACTCCTTCCTCCATAATGTTGACACTGAATGTGGGCCACAGAGGACTCTGAGGGCTGGTGATAGGCTTCCCACCATAATGCTTGTGTTGTTTCCATTACAGATGCAGGAGTCATGGAGTTGAGCTGCAATGACGTGCCTCTTTATGTAAGTCCCTAAGCACTGGGCCTTAGGTCCCAGTGGCCCTTTCCTAACTTGAAACCTTGTGACTGAAGTGGGGGGAGAATGTTTTACTTACTATGGAGTGGAGGCCTTTAAAAACCACATGGAATATTACTCTCTAAATCAGGTGTTTCTGTATGGCCTTTTAGAACGTCCTGGCTTCTTTTCCCAAAATCTAAACTTTAATTATCTTTCATTCAGTACTTTTTGAAAAGCTATGTGATTTGCAACTCATCTGGTTTACTTTCATAAGGAATTTTCATACATTTTATTTTGTGGTAATTTCTTGATAATAGCAAAACGTGTTTTTCTTGTGTGCCTTGGAGGTATGCGTTTTTTTTTTTTTTTTTTTTTTTTTTTTGTAATTTTGGAGGTGTGCCTTGCCGATAATGGTTTTAGCTTTGAACATGAAATGGGAATTTAGAGTACAACTGTAAGTTGTGTGTGGAAGTGGCAGGCAGGGGACAGATGTTTTCCATATGCCTCCAGCTTATTTCTGAGACTAGTTCCCATACAATCTAAGCCAATTGTCTTCTTACTAACAAAATGGCATCCAGTATCCTCTCTGCCTCCTTCCTCAGAGATGGGCCTGGGCAGAGGTTATGGATGTGTGCGTGGGTGAAACCGTGGTTTACAGCAAAATATTAAGGGGCCAGAACAAATTTAGTCAGAAACCTCAATTAATAAAAATATTAACATATTCGTCTACCACCCACACCTCATTACTCAGCTAGCACACCCTACCATCTTCTCTGGTTTCTCTCTCCCTTCTGCACACATCGCATAGACCACTGTATTCACTGGAAGAAGACAGAATAATAAAATAAATGGATTTCTGAATAATAGAAAATGCTGCCTTCTGAGTTACTCAAGGTCTGTAGTTTGCTTTCCAGATCATGTCGTACAGGTTATTAAATGTCCTCTGGGTCCTGCCACAATTAGTTTAAAAAAAAAAGATGGGCCCAAGACTAAACTGTGAAAAACTCCCCAGCCTCATTGTTGCTGTCCACTCAGCTTCTTCCTTGCACTGATCTCACCCTGCTCCCCTCCCCCAAACAGACACATCTCCACACTCAGTCATGTTGTAGAGTCACAGAATCTTGTACTTGTCACCCTCCTGCCGTAGCTATTATGCACACAGACATACTGGCCAGGACAGAGCAGGAGAAGAACTGATACACTTGTATAAGGGACAAGGTGTTTAAATGACCCAAGTAAGCATTCACATATGAAAACCCTTCTAATTGTTAAACATATACTTATCAGAATACAAGCAAATGCCACATAGTATTAAGAAAATAAGTCACAACCTCACCTCAGATAGTTTTTATATTGAAATATTGCTATGTCATTAATTCTAAGGTATAATTTCTCCCTACCTTTATTTCTGAAACCATATCCTGGCCTTAACTCTGTCTTGGCAGATTCTATCCCTGTGTATCTGTCATCTTGGTCACAGTGGTTCATATTATTGTCATTTCAGTGTATACTGCATGGAATAATTGATTTAAAAATGAACTGGCATTAGAAGACAAAGCTGTTGTGTACACAGAAAGACATGGAAAGATATCTGTGATACATGTTAAAATCTGTGCATAAATTAGTTTTTGAAGGACTCATTTAATGACTATGTAGTTCCATGTAATAAAACATGGCATTCATAGTAGAATATAAAATGTATATTGTAACTGATGGTGTCCTAGATTAGGTGAAAAGCGTTAAATATATTTAATATGGATGACTCTTCATATCTCTGTCTATAACTACATATCTATGATGTGTCTTGCCATTTTCACTTAATATTGTATGTCAAATTATTGCAGACTGACTTAAGCCAATGTGGCTACTTGGCCTCTGCCAATAAAAAGTCAGTAGCATATGTTACAATGGAAACCACTCTTAAACCAAGTCCCAGCAAATGCACAAAATGCATGGGTACAGACAAAGAACCTGTGCTACCGTTTGTTCTGTATTTTGGGGAGCGTCTTGTTATAACATGATAAATAAAAGCCTCAGAGACTGTTATTGGGGTTCAAGCTTCAAGCATAAGATCAGAAAAGCACTAGCTCTTACCCCTGCCTCAGACCAAAAGGTGATCCTGGCTCCACCAAACCTCGTACTGTAATCTCAGATTGCTATTCTGTCCTCAATGTGGCTGGAGAATCCTGAGGCTGAATGACAGCTCTGAGACCTTGCTCCTGTCTTATATACCTCTATAATGCTGGGATTAAAAGTGTGTGATCCCAGGTGCTAGGATCAAAGGTATGAGCTCTGTTACTCTTCACTTTTGTGTAGGCCATGGTGGCCTTGCACTAACAGAGATCTATTTACCTTTTAATCCTGAGTCCTGGGATTAAAGGTGTGCACAACCATTGCCTGATCTCTATAGCTAGTGGCTGACTTTGCTTTCTGAATCCTCAGGCAAGCTTTAATAAATCATAAATAATATATCATCTCATCACTGGTCTTTCATTATATGTTTGTAAATACAGTTATCATAAATATTTATAGGAAAAATTGTATCTGTTTTGTACTTATGCAGAGCTTTCTCTTGCCTTTCTTCCCTGCAAAATAAAGCATAGCCACTATGTCCATAGTGTTTGTGTTAAATTAGTTATTAAAAAAATCTAGAGATGATTGACAGTACCCAGGAGGATAATATGGGGGTAATATGCAAATGCTCAAATGCTATGCCATTTTATGTAAAGTAGTTGAGCATCTGTGGATTTTGGCATCTACAATTGGTCCTGAAACCTGTGCACCATGGATGTCAAGGGGTGAATGTCTTCATGTCTGGTTTCTTACAGTTCACTGTATTTTGGTATACAAACCCTTAATATTTTTTAATTCACATGTGTTGTGTTTTGTACACACACTGCACAATTAGAACTAGAGTAAGCCAAACAAATTGGAAGCCTGGTGTTTAATCTCATCATGAGTTCTAAGCCTCGCTGACAGTTTGATGTGTGTTCTTCCAGGGGTCCATCTGTATCTGTGTTGAATCTGATCACGAGTTCTTTCAGCACTTATTTCAGTGTTGTAGTGTTGGTCTGTTGACTGTGAGGCATCCTATCTATGTATTTTGATGCTTTAATGGAGTTTTGACATTCTCTGTTGTTTTAATTGGTTCTTTTGGAAAATAACCCTGGTAAACTTCATGAATTGTGAAGAACTCATAACAGATCAGGATATTGTCTTAAGTGACACAATAATATTATATAATTTTTATTTTCCTAAAGCCTGTTTTTTTTTTCTAATTCCCTTTTTTACAGGCATTAGTATTTTTAAAATAAAAATTTAACTTTTAGTCACTGCAAGAGTCTTTTTAAAAATAAACTAATTTATGAGATTTACCTCCAAGAGAATTAGATCATCTGGATAATTTAATAATTCCAGAGGGCAAAATGTTGGTGGAAACTATTTCCCCACCTCTACTTGGAACTCAGAGAAAGAAGCATCTCATCCAAGTGGGTCTTACAAGGAATTTCTGATTCCTTTGCCTGGGAGTTGTTTGAATGAGTTCTTATGATGTCCTTATGGTTAAAATGCCCCGGTGTTTCTATTTTGGTATCACTATGGAGAACTCTTTCTAAAGATGGTAGAGAATTTTTTTTTATAACTACAGATTATCTGTGGATATAAATATATACTTGAAATTCCCCATTACTTTGTTTGGATCCATGAAGAAAACTTTTTTTATTTTTATTTTTAAGACTTTCTTCTTTTGTGTCTTCCACTATTGGGTTTTTTGGTTTTATTTTTGTTTTTTCCTTTTCATTATGAAACAATCTAGGGACTAGATTTGTCTTTTGTTTTGTCTTTTGGGGAGATGGGAGCTGAAATTTGGAAGCATGTTTTCAACTTAATTATGTTTTTGTTGTGTCTAGTTTCTCTTTTTTTACTTCGTGCCAGCATAATTTTAGCTTCTATTATTTTTAGTTTCTATGTAGCATTTTCATGTTATGCTGGCCTCCTTGTGTCCACAACTCTAAAGAGGTAATCTTTTGTATTTTCTTTTAAGCACAAAGAAAGGACGTAGAATTGTTTTCTTGTTCTACTAGGAATCAATTTCAGAAGGGAATATGGATGCTGTTGTGTTGTTTGTTACAGACTTTGGGGGTTGTTTCTGTTTGCTTATCTTTAGGAAGAAGGCTTTGCCCTACTCTTAGGGATGTCAGGATATTCCTAAGCTTAACCATGGACTCATTCTAGTTTTTAAATGCAGTAAAGCAGGATGGTCCACTGAACCCCTATTGTGAGAAAATAAAAACAGACCATGGTCAGGTCTGAGGAGCAGCATGATGGCAAGACTGGCAGTGGGGTGAGCATCTCCAATAACTGATTTGCTCAGTGTTGGGAAGTCGACATTGCATCCTCTTTGCAGTCTTGGAGCAGCTTCATTCATCCATGGGTCTGGACCCCAAGCCACAGGTCTGCAAAGCCAGGCTCTTTGTTCTCTGCTGTAGTCATGTTCATCTTGAATCATCAGTGGGTATTGTGGTGTGGTGGGTTTCAAGCTAGCAGAGGTGAGTCTCAGGAATGTGTAAGCTTGGAAAGATATAAATTAGAAGAAGCCTGGCAGCCAACCTACAGTATTTATTTTCTGGCTGAAGACTCCTTTAACTCTTTAAATACTAATCTCAGTACAAGAGAGAAAATATGAATATCTGTTTTTCCGAGTCTAGTGTACTTTACCTAATATATTGACTTCCAGTTTTATTCTGCAAAAGATGTAATTTTGTTCTTCTTCATGGCTGAATATTGCTCCATTTTAATGCCTACCACATTTAAAAAATGTATCCATGTTACTTGGAACCTAAGCTGGTACTGTTTCTTGACTGTTGTGATACTGCCACATAAACATGGTGGGCAGGTGTCTTTGCTGTGTGCTAATTTACCTTCTGGTATATGTCTAGAGTGGCACTGATTGACTATTCAATAGTTCCATTTTTATAGTAGGAGACCAGTAGGAGGAGGATGAAGTA